AATTGAATCACGTTGCATCAACGCTTGATTATTCGCCAATGTATGATAATAAAGAAACAATCGTGAAGTAATGTAGAACGCCACGAAAACATCGATGGAGTAATGTTCATGTGCTGCCAGAATAAAAAAGATACCAAACATATTGAGCATCCATGTGAAAGTATGTAAAAAGTACAAATGTCTTGGAGTATCTGTAAGAAATAGAGTAAGAAATAATTAAATCGACTCTCTTCAAGCTTATATATAATTTGTCGTTTCCGATGTTTCATAACCCAGCAACTGTACTATATCTCAGCAACTGTACTACTTGCTGAGATGAAATATTAACGAAAACGGATCGTTACTTACATTCTGTAATGAAGAAGTTAAGCATAGTTAAAGCAACCGTATGCCCACTGAACATGTAATCCCCGCAGGTCCTTACACCTTGAATGGACATACCAGCGCCCCGCCATATAACATAAGCCATTGCTATTTTATTGTACAATTCGACGTACGCAGAACTGAAGTAATATATTAGATAGATAGATATGTTTTAAAAACAGATGATAGATTACAGTGTGATTGATAACTCACCCTGTCCAGTCCTCATCTGGAACTTTCCGCGGTTGGCATTGTAAGTGTGCACCTGGTACTGATAAGGAAGTAATGAGCATTGTCACGCATCTCAATAGGAAGACTGTACCTGACAGTGCGAAGAACCTCCGTAACAAAATGAACCTGTTGGGCAATTTAATAAATTATTCTCATTGACAAATTGCATCAGTTACTTTCTTGAAATTAGACAAAGAAATACCGCAATATTCGACAATATTATTTTCTTATCTGTTCTCTTACCTATATTTGTGAAATATAAGCACAACCAGCCATATCGCGAAAAGCAGAGTTCCGATAACTTCGCATATATCGAATGCCCAAGGAATATGAGGTACGTTGTCCAAAAATATATCTGGCAATGGAGGATACTTTTTCATATCAGGCACTCTGTCGTGAACGATGACCATCACGAAGGCGGTGATCCATGTGACAATAAACAAATACCCTAAACTAATAACGGTCTTCCAGATTTCAGGTGGTAGATGAGAAGCATGTCCGTCCTCCGATACGGAAGCCGAGTAAAATTCATGCTCTATAGATGCTTCATTATTCGTGCCAGTACTAGGCATCTGACAAAATTATTACAAATACACACTGTTCATTACATACAAAGCTTGACGCCAAGCATCCTATATCTCGTCTACATGCAGATTAAATCAAACTGTATATAAAATTTTGTAAACAACCAATTTTGAGTTATTAATTAAAGAGGATTGGCGAATAATTATGAGTAATATAGTAGACGAGTTGTGATAGTAACGCTTGTTGTCGTATGCTTACAAATTAGGTCAAACTGAACAAAAAAGTCCTCTACCATTTTGCAAATGACTACGTAAACTTTATCATTTTTAAAAAATTGGTGTCAGGGTTATCACGCGTCTCTTTTTTCATTAGCAATATAATTAATAATTCAAAATCTTACATAATTGTATGCAAAATGGTATACAATTTCTTTGTCCAGTTTGGCTTAATCTACATGTACACGACATGTAGAATACTTATTGTCAGATATCCTGTATATATGTATCATATTGGGATCCAGTTCTTTAACTTATTTAACTGGAGCTTAACTCATTAAAGGCCTGTTTAGGCAAATTTAGTGTAATCGCATTTATATGCATGAGAAAATTGACTAATCTAATGTAAAATATGTCTAACATAAGAGACATCCTTTTACTATACGAATCATGATTGGTTGATTTTGTTACGCATATGCAATATGTGATTACAAGTTTGTCTGGATAGGTCTTTAACAAGTTAAAATTCAGTTAAAGTAAGTTATAAAACTTGTTTTCTTTTTTGAAGAAGAAACAAAATATATTTGTTTTACTCTAACTTCTTGCACCAGTGTGCAACAGTTCAGAATGTTCTTTAAAAAAAAAAACAGACTCATTATTATATATGTATTATAGTTTACTGTCTCAGCTAAAATTACAGCTTGAACATTTTTTCACTATTGTATATTTACCTCATGTTTATTCTGATGATGTGTATAAAAATTTGATGACGAAAACAAATCCATATATCCCAAATCAAATAAAACAGCGACATTATCCCTTTGCAATTGTTTTATTGCAAGGTATATCTTTTTTATAGCACCAATCTTGTCTATGTTCATAATTTCCGATTTTAAATCTTCTTCCTTCAACATCAGAAGCACTTTTCCATCGATTTCATGTTTATAGAATAAACCAGCATATTCTTCATAACCAGTTTCTGTGAGCCATGTTACTACATCACTAGGTGTCCACTCAATAACGTTCTTCAATGGCATATTTGCGTTGTCAAAATGCATCTATTATCCTATGTAAAAAAAAAAACAGATGTTATACAGAAAATATACATGTAGATCATTGTGAAATTTCTTTGTAACAGCATAATTTTGGGAAATATTGCAATAACATAACAACTCTTAACTTTCAAACCTCATATAAAAGAATGCTGGATTCTAACTAATATTTTGGACTCTATATCTTATTTTTACTCTGCATTATTATTTACACAGTCAGTTATTAGTGTTTTCCAATTGCTTATTAAAATTGCTACATGTATGTGCAGAGAAAATTTAGGACTTTAATACAAAAACAAAAGCATTTAAAATAAAGTACAAGAGGTTAGTCGCAACAATATAGCGCAGTCCACATTTGAATATTATTTATACCAGGAAATAACAGTAAAAAATGTCTTAATAAACAATTGAAGAAGAAAATATATTCCATTACAAGAAATAATCTACGCTGTCACGAAGTAAATATTGTATATCGATCTGAAATGAGAAAATGATGCTGTGTCGGGACTTAACCTCGCGTTTAACAGATTTATTGCTTACCTTAAAGAGAAAACTGCGTTACAGAATTGTCTATAGAGATGTTTTATTGCAACATTTTTCTACGCTTAACGTGCATACTGTACCGTATTGTTGTTATAATGAATCACACCTCGACAACACCTCGTGCATAAAGTTTAATATACACGAGGCCATCGACCGCGATATAGCACGAATTGAGATCTATTACTAATCACCGAGATTACACTTAGCGGCCTCATTCAGCGATGTGTGTGATATCAAAACATGATTATGATATGTATCGCGGCATTCTCGCACGCGTAAGAAAAATATTATTAGAACGAAATTCTCGCGTCGTTCGATAAAAAAACCACCGCCGAGGCTAGTTGGCTCGTTGTTGCACAAAATACATGAAATCGATGATAATGTTATCGTAAATTATGCGACTTGCGATATGCCATAAGATTAGTTATTCTTGGCAATAAAGAGCTACGCTATCTATATGAGAATATTTGTCTTTTGTTTCTTTTGTAACAAATAATACAGCTTTAGTTTATATCCTCCTAAATGTTTTATATGAACATGTATATTACAGTGCGTTCTAAATTTCATCGGTCAGTTACGTCAGTACGTCTTGCGAGAATAAAATAATTTTCAAATGAGAATAAAGAAATTTTGTCTTACAGAGAAATCGAAAGTTTACTGCAAGCCTATTTGTTTTAAATTAAAAATTAGTAGAATGTATTTCTATTTCAGATTTTTACGCGCACGTATATATGTATAATAATTATTGACATAAAAGATAAAAAAGTATCTGTATATTTCATACTTCTGTAGTATCTATATATTTCTTAAATAACACTAAATAAAAAGGAAGATTTTTATTAAAATATACAAGGAGCTTTTATTGAATATATTAACATAGATAATACAAAACTGTTTTATAACACCTTCATGTGATTAGAAATACTTTAGAAGAATATAGGGAAATATGAAAACTAAAAGATATATTTTTATAAGCAAATATATGTATAAACTTGTTTATTAAAAATTTTATAATAGAGAGTATTCAACAGACTTTTGTGTAACTTTAAAGTAGCATTATATCTTAGTTAGTATATAGGCACATTTTAGTACAAAAATAAATGATTTCAACGATGGCGCGAACGATGTTAGATTTTAATCAAAGCTCTTGTGCATTGATATACTATAATCTATTAATACTTAAATTATGGAAGAACATTATCATTTACATGTTAAGTTTGCCTTTGCTCGTCATATTTTAGTCTCAAAGCTGCGTTTTCTTGCTTCAAGAACTTGCACTCTTCTAACTTACTTTGTAGATAATCATTTTGTGCTTTCAAAGCAATCAATTCTTGCTGCAAACGTTCGTTTTCCTCAATCAGCATTCTCAATCTGGTGGAATCCTTGCTGGGATGCATTTCTTTGATCAAGTCATCTGTCTGATTTAAGAGATTTTTTATTAATGTTGCTTGGGAATTTATATGTAACTCCTGCATAATGCGCAGAATCTTTGTACTCTCCTGCTTGGTATATGTGCTGATCAATTCTTTGATAGCAGTAAGTAAAACAACTGGATCTTGGTTTTGTATATTATAACCAGATTTTCTCTGATTAACTGGCAACTCTTCTTTCTCCTTAGCTATGTCTTGAGGATCACTTTCTTTGGAAAAGTCTGAGGGACGACTATTGTCCTTACTGGAAGTATCCGAGGAATGATTGTTAGAGGAATCAGGGAAACATTTATTTTCTTTTGTAAGAATACTTAGGGGGTGAGTGATTTCTTTATCTGATCCAGAACACCGATTATATTCCTTCTCTTCTTTCTCCTTAACTGTATCTTGAGGACCACTTTCTTTGGAAGAGTCTGAAGGACGACTATTGTCTTTACTGGAAGTATCCGAGGAATAATTGTTAGAGTAATCAGTGGAACATTTATTTTCCTTTGTAAGAATACCTAGAGGATGAGTGGTTTCTTTATATGATCCAGAGCGCCGATTATATTCCTTGCTTATTGTTTTGTTTTCAGATAGCTTGAGATGCTTAGTCTCCTGTAACTTTATTTTAGTTTCCCCACTGACACTGTGCTGTTGGTTATTGTCCATTTTTATTTTAACATGCATAGGCCTTGTCTTGCTTTCATTTTTTTCAGATACTTTCACCTTCATGGAATGTTTTTTCATATTTTGATCAGATAGTTTCTTGGAGTCTTTAGAGGGGAGATTTTTGCCACCTGTGATCTTTGTGTTAGGCATATTTGAGACTGTTATGGAACGTACTTTCTGTGATCGCATGATGTTATTCCTCTCATCATGTTCAGAAAATTTAAGTAGTGGAGATGAAGTAGCATGCCTGGTGGTTATATAGCAATCTGCTGGTTGATATGTTTTCTTAGATTCTTCTGGTACTAACCCTAAATCCTCCAAAAAGGAATCATTCATTTTAGAAAAATGTATATACGTGTACGTGACTATTTTATCCTGCTATACACAATGGATTGGCCAAGGCACCACTGTAAACATGAAAGTATATATAAATGTTAATAATGCATTCTAAGACTCATTCGTGTAATTTGTATAAGCAATAAATATATAATTAAAAACTGAAAACGTTTTGTTATTAAATCACAGTAGTAAAAGTGCATTATATGCTAACCTTATCTTTTCTTTCTTTTTCTTTCTTTCTTATGGCCTAACCTTTTCTTGATTATCTACAAACTTGAGCGCGAGAGCGTATCGGTGTAGTTAGGTTTGATCAGCTGATCGAATACCAACCGGCGTATGTACTTGTATGTACGCTATCTGTATTCCTTAGTAACATATGTTACTAGGGTTGCTTTCCAACAAGAGATACAAGTCGACACAAACATTCCTTCCTTCCTTCCTTCAATATTTGACTAGAGCGACACAAACATTATTCTATTTTTGTTTCACATTTAGGGTGCTTTCCAGCTACGTTACACTGTGTTACACAAAACCAGTTTATTGGTTGCATATTATCTTACAAGATATTTTAGATAATATGACCAATAAACTGGTTGTGTACATGTGTGTCAAGATGTGTTAAGCAATTGGAAAGCACTCAATAGTTGCGTTCGACATTGTATATACATCGAAAACGTCGGATTGCTCTTTCATCTCGAAGATGTATAGAAATGAAAAAGATACAAGATCTCGTATCTCTCTCACTTCTATGCATTTTCGAGATAAAAGAGCCATCGACGTCTTCGATTTACAATGCCGAACGCAGCTAATGTCGAAAAAAAAAGAATTCGTGTCCAAATTATCGATTGATTTTTAATTGTTTTAATCGTTTCGTAACTATTTTATATATAATCAATTAGTAATAATAATATTTTGAAATTGAGTAAAATTAAATTTAGTACCATCGAAATAAGAAAGGAACTATCGATATATGGATTAGTCGACTTGAAAAATATCGAGAAGATAATCAATTCTATAGCAAAAAACATCAAATATCGATATGTTCTAGTCGTACATACGTTGTTGTACATTTCTAATAGTTTCTATTCAAATCTGATTGTATTTAGATATTTATTATTGTATATACATCGAAAGATAAAACGAATACCATATCTTTTCACAAGGTGTTCTAATGAAATTTCTTGTTTCTAAATATATGCACGTTATTATCTTATCGCAATTCATATTTCTATTCATAGATTGACGAAATAAATCTTGTTAAATAAGAATAAATCTTGTCAAATTTAAATGAACAACGAAACGGAAACGGAAGTTCAGAATCGAGAATTCTCGTTGCTCGATTAAACGAACGTTTAAAATATTCTTTCCTTATATAGCGAATGTAATCATCATAACCTTCATAACGTTCATATTGCTGTGATATCGTCAACATGAACAACGCACTTATTTTCACTTTGAGCTCGTTGCTTCTGGTGCTACCCTACGGAAGCACCAGACGATTGTGGAATGTATATCCGCGAGGAAAAGAATATCCTCTAGCTAACGAAGAGGACGTCGGTACGCCGCTTTTTCTCACACCTTTGATAGAAAATGGGAAAATTGAGGAAGCACGAGGAAAGGCTGCTGTTCAACATAAAGAAATGGGTGACGTCAGTAGTTACTCGGGTTACTTGACGGTTAACAAAGCATACAATTCAAATCTTTTCTTCTGGTTTTTTCCAGCCGCGGTAAGTAACATTTCACGTTTCTTGCATATAAATATTGCCAAATAGACTGGTTACTGCAAAAAAATACTCTAAAGAGCATATGTATCTTAGTAAGTACCAATTAACATTATCAGTAACAATAACATTATATCAATGTTGTAACTTTCCACTCGGTGATGAAAGTGCAACACATGTACATAGCAGTTACATTGTTGAATGAGAAATTATAACATTGATGTAATATTACTGTTGGTGTTTACTGTGATATATATCTATATATTTATATTTATTCATCCATATCTATAAAAGAAACACTTCCTCTCTAAAAGCATGAAATTATTCTCTTAAATTTTCATAATATATTTTTCAAGTAATTGTACACATATAGTACTTTAGGTACAACACATTACTGTGTTGCACCTAAAAGCTGAAATTAATAATTATTTGTGTGCTATAGCACAACCCAAAGACTGCACCAATAGTACTATGGCTCCAAGGTGGTCCAGGAGCAACTTCTATGTTTGGTCTTTTTATGGAGAATGGTCCATTTGCCATAACTGCAAACAAGACTCTAACAATGCGAAAATATTCATGGACTATAGCGCATAGTTTAATTTATATCGATAATCCCGTTGGTACTGGCTTTAGTTTTACTGGCAACGACAAGGGATATGTCACAAATGAAACGCAAGTAGGGAAAGACATACTTAATGCTCTGATACAATTTTTCCAGTTGTTCCCAGAATTACAAGATAATAATTTCTTTGTTACTGGCGAATCATACGCCGGGAAGTATGTACCAGCAGTGTCTCATGCCATTAAAGATTACAATATCAAAGCAGAGACAAAGATTAATTTGAGAGGTTTAGCCATTGGCAATGGATTATGCGATCCAGGAAATCAGTTGTTGTATAGCGATTATTTGTATCAACTCGGATTGATAGATTTAAATGGCAGAAACCAATTTCAAATATACGAAAATAAGGGACGCGATTTGATTAAAAAAAGAAAATACGTTGAAGCTTTTGATATATTTAATACGCTTCTTAACGGCGACATGACTGGTACACCATCTCTATTCTACAACCTGACTGGTTTCGATTTTTATTATAATTATCTAACGGCAGAAGGAAACAATAACTCCGATACATTGATGTATGAATTGATTCAAAGAGCTGATATTAGGCGTGCTATACATGTAGGTAATATCACCTTTAACGTCGAAACCCAGATTGTCGAGGAAAACTTGAAAGGGGATGTCATGCAATCTGTAGCAGATCTCTTAACGGATCTTTTACAACACTATAGAGTACTCATTTATAATGGACAATTAGATATCATTGTGGCGTATCCACTTACAGAGAATTACCTACGTAATTTGAAATGGTCCGGCTCAAAGAAATATATGAAAGTGCCAAGAAAATTATGGATGATTGGAGGCAAATTGGCTGGTTACTCGAAAAGTGTTGATAATTTGACGGAGATCCTTGTGCGGAATGCAGGCCACATGGTACCATCGGATCAACCGAAATGGGCGTTGGACTTGATTACGCGTTTTACACATAACAAGAAGTTCTGAATTACATTAACAGATTGATGTATTGACATATATGGTAAAAGCTTTGAACTGTACCGCTAAAAATAACGAAGTTTCAAATATAAACATTAACCAAACACGAGCGAATGTAATATGCCAGAAAAATAATCTTTTCAGGTATTTTGAAGAATTTAATCATGACCAAAGTGAGATTATGATAATAGATTTAGTTCTGTGTAATGTTAAAATTACGTAGATAATTTGAAATTTATGTAGATTTATAATAAATAATTTTATTTCTTAAGACATGCGGAGTACGTTAATGAAAACATGCGATTCCCTTGTATAAAACAGATTATTACATTTACAATACATCTTTTATATAAATTGCAATTGAAAAGTTTCACGTCAATTACTATTGAAAAGCGATATGTTTACATGATATGTATGAGGTATAATTTCAGTCTTGCGCATATTGGAATATTGGAGTATTGGAATATTTTATGTTTGCTGCTCATTAAATTTATATCAATTTAATTTAAGTTGCAAATTTAAAAAAGATAATGTTATAAATTTTAAAATGTGAGTTGTAATAATAATTTTTAATTTTTTACAATATTAATATTTGACAAATATTAATTTTATTTATTTATATCATATTAAGTTTAATCTAAGAATGGTAGTATAAATTGATCTACTATAGAGGTATTATTGTGCCACTCATAATGAGGTATCCCTGGTACAGTGATAATTTTCAATCTTCCTTGTTTATCTAATGTTTTTAAACCAATAGTATCATCTTTATAAATAGGTCTGTTATACATTTCTACTACTGTCTCATTATCATCGTAATATCCAAAATGGCTACTTTCCCATGGTGTGATAACTCCATCATCTGGTCCTCCAATAAGCACCATTCGTTTGAGCTTAGTTAAACCTGTTTTGTAGTCAGAATTGTTGAAATCTATATTTTCATTGTTCACATATGGTAGAAACTTGCTGTACTTATAATACAATTTCTGAAAGAAGCAGCAGTACATTTACATTAGCATTACATTACAATAGATTGCAATGTTCTTTCTTTTAAGCCTGTAAAATAAATTATACTAACTTGGTGATGAGGATCATTCCAATAATTTCCAACGCTAATGTGTTGTCCGAGATATGAATAAAAAAGTTCATAAGCAGTTTCGCAAACTAAATTGGGGAAAAATAAATGCAGAAAGCGTGCTGGAACCAAAATTGCACGATTAGATGAAAATTCTGGCTTTCTTTTCTTTAGATTGCTATAATTTTACATACTCCCATATTGACCTGCTTGTGGTGAGCTCAGAGAGATAAAATTTCTCACATTATGCATGGGAAACCTTTGTAATATTGCTCTAGCTAACAGACCGCCCTGGCTGTAACCTATCAAGTTAATTCCTTCTGGAAATGCAGCACCTATGGAAATCACATCTGTGCCTATTTCCTCTACTTGTTGCCACATTGGTTCCAGACTACTCCATCCTGCAAATCTAACAGTATTGTAGACTAGGGTTCCAGGGTGCATCTGTAAAGATATATCTTAAGTAAAAGAATCAAACCTTTGACATGTACTAGAAACTACTTAATCTTCAACTTAAAAATATTCAAGCTGACGTTGCCAGTGATAAGCTAACTTGTGTAAGACATGTACAGTAAAGAAATGATAAACAGGATCAACGCACATAATGAAATCTTTATTCAGAGATAACATATAATACAATATAATACATATAAAGTGTTTATCGACACAGAGGAGTATTGGTATGCATATTAATTCATAAGAGAGACTTCTGATTATGAACCTAGCAATTTACATTTACTGGCTAAAACTACAATGTTAGGACATTGATAACAGTCTTTATTCTGTTGTTATTTTGTTTATTCCATAGATTTTTATTATACAAATATCTAAATCACTAACTCTAAACAATAAAAGTAAAGTGAGGAGAAAGAATAGCAGACATTTTTAATTCTTTCGTGGCATACTTGATATTTAAAATAAAAATGACAAGAGATGAATCAATTGATATTCTTGTTGTGTGAATATATATGCAACAATGAAGTTACATTGAGCTTTTCTCTGAATTCGATATATATTCAAATATATTTTTGACATTGATTTATATTTTTCGTTATTTTATATATAAGATATCAACGTAAATTTAATTTAATTTACATATTCATTTTTCACTTTACCTAATATTTTGATACGCATATTGACGATAAAATCTACTTATGTGAATAAAGAACATTCCATTAAAAAATAAAGATAAGAGAAGCCATCTTTCTGTCCTCCTAGATATTTAATACTGATACTTTGTATGTCACATAAAAGAGAGTCTAATAAACATTAAATAATATTTAACAAATTTTATAAAATAGTTATGGGATATATATTATTTCTGAAAATACACAAACTAGTGTTTGCATTACAATTTTATCGAACATTATACGTATGCATTCATTGGACATGACGTATCATTGAAAGTTTTGTCTTTATCTGATTCACGTTCACAATACTTAACCACGAATCACACTTATAACATGTTAATGTTTTATGGAAATTTGCCCCACCTCCTGGATTCTATTCGTGATGAGTTCCATACTACTGCTTCCAGTAAGCACTCCATGGATAATAACTACAGCACGATATGATTTTGCTTCGTTATAAGATAATAAGTAAACTAAAAGTAGGTATATACAAATTACAGAACGTTGACTCGTCATTGCTTCTCGGCATTACATGAGGCTACTGCTCTCAGTAAAATTCAATATTGCTTTTGATACATTTCTTGCAGCGCTACACCGTGTGCATAGTGAAGTGATTGAGGTAAATCGTGTTGATAAAGGCATATCCAACTTTATCGTTCGATGATATTGCATGCATAGACTTTTCTGTCTGTTGGTATTTGTTTTCCTTCTGCTGATATTGTGTGAAATATATCTCAAGTATTCGCAAAATATATCATATATAAATATCCGAATAAATTTTCCTACAATTATTACCATATCATAAAATATATCCATATATTTACATCTTGTATGAAGTTTGGTTTGCATCATACGACCTAGATAGACATTAGAGATTTTGTAGTTGTTGATTTTAGTTATTTTTTATACATAACAATTGTTGGACTATCGTAAAGACCACGTTGCATCAACAACATCAATTAGGAGCCATTCAACAATTACGCAAAATTTAAGTATTTTTTATCCCTTCTCCTCACCTTCATTACCCTTACTTTGTCATAAAATTTGGACTTTTTTCCAACATTATGTGATATATGAAATTATACCTTCTCTCCACATAGAATAAAACATAGTAACTTATAATCATATTGTGAGTTATAATTGATGAAAGAAGGGAGAAGGGGGGAAGGAGAGAGAAAGATCGCGCTATTATCTTTTTCTAAAATATAAATAATTTCTAGGCATAAGAAATCACTTTTAAGTATAACAAATCAAATTAATAATTTCTTTTTATAATTTTAATTAGTAAAATATTTTTTTTTAAATAAATATTTAAAACTTTGATTATTAACACAAAATTAAATTATAGAATATAATTTTTTATAGAATATAACGCATTTTTGGATACAAAAATTTAGATATAGAAAACGTGTGACATTCTGTGGCCTTTATTTCCTTTCTTACTGTCATCACAGACGTTCGTAAATAGACTACCTCCTTCCCCTCTCCTCATAGTGTGACGTAATTATTGAGTAGCTCCTTATATTCTTCCACATAAAGATTATTATAACAGATTATTACAACATTATTACATAAATATAAGAACAATTACTCTGCGGTCAAAATGATAGTTGATGACAAAGGATTTAAAGGTGAGTGAAAAGGTCGGTGCTGACGACCGAAGGAATTCAATTGCATCTCGAAACGATGTGTTGCAGAATATAGTAGGTCATCACCCTAATCCTTACGGGTTGCCGTGTGCTAGGTGGGGCACATGGTATTTCCCGAGCTCGCTTCAGCCATATATCACCGTACTCTGACATCGCTCCCGCTTTCCCCCAGCCGCTAAACGAAACTTGCGTTCTGTACCGGGGCGATGGATGCCGAGCGCATTGTTTCGACCAGCGTCATCCATGATTATCACACGGCTTTACTCCTTGAAGGAGCAAACCCTTTTGTCGTTTGCACTATTACCCTTCTCGGTATTGATATACTCCTAGAATTCGAGTAATATCGACGCTTGTTTGCAGTTATATCGATGGGGTCCTTAATAGAACTTATCTCGAAGCATTCCCTAATTCTAATTATGTATGTATGTTTCAACGTATTTTAAATTATATGTAATTAATCATGAGTCTCATAAGTATGGTAACATATATATTTGGAACATATAATGGGTAACATTTAGCACTTTTTGACTATTGATGAATTTCCTTGCATTGGATATTAATTATTAGTATTTCGCATAATCTATTGTATTATTTCCTATTCATAGTATAGTAAGATATGGTTACATTCAATACATACGATATGTTTTTCAACATGTTTCATTGACGGGAGATTATTATGCCGTCACTGCGATCATGGAAAATCTTGTAAGGAGGATGTTAGTGACCCCCATAGAGTGACCTAGACGAAACTCAGAGGGTGTTTTCGACGATCAACGCGTCATCGAGATGAAGTAATTTATGGGAGTGACAGCGGGGATACTTGATGCTTAAGGACGAAATTAGGGCTGTCGTCTCCTGCTACATCACGTCTAGACTATAATGATCGCAATGAAAGGGGTGTCGTGTCTCTAATCGATTTTATTAGATTCTACGAATCAAATGATTCCTTGGCATCTCACGGCCTCTTCATCTAGTTGAATAGAATTGATCCGATCTCGATTCATTATATCGGGTCATAATTCCATTATACATACGATCTGTATGTATCTGTATGACCCTCTTGATGAACTCTTCTTTATAAGGATAAACATAGACCTACATATGTTGTTCTATTACAATGTGTTTTTATGAGTTTTTTATATCATGAACTACAGTATTTTGATAATCCAAGACTCTTGGGTACTCATCGCAGCAATGTTGGATTGTGATATCGAAAGCGAAAAAACGCAAATCCTAAATTCTTACACGCCATTTTCAAACAAAAATATATTTGAAAAAATACTTCAGATTACTTGAGTATACTTATAAAATTCTTTGAAAATGAGCATTTTCCTTAAATAATCGATAAGTAGCCGTAAAATTGACGTGATAAAATCATGGGAAACATAGATTAATAAGGCAGGTTACTTGTCACGTTAATTTTGCGGCTATTTATTGACTGCCAAAGGAAAGGAATAGTTTTCAGAACATTTTACATGCTGAAGCGATCTGAAATATTCTTTCATAAAAATAGATTTTTATTTCAAAATGGCATACAAGAAGTTTGGATGTGTTTCTCGCTTCTAACGTCATCAATCAGAAGTCCCGTGATGAGAGGGATTGGGAGCTTTAAACAAATAGAATTCCTCAAATTTCAAAATAATATCTGTCACCTTATTTGCTGCATTGTTCTCCTACAAACTGTCTATGCATCCATAACACCAAATAGTAGTACATCTGACCGTTATAAAAAACCGAAGAATATGACAGAAAGATGCAGCAAGCAAAAACAACGACACGAACGCGGCGCAATTTACAACGAGGACCGTTACGGACGATTGCGAGGTAAGAGCAAGTTCCTGTGAGGTCAAAGGACGAAGATTCCTTCATCCACTTTCTGCGGTATGATACTCGGTGGTTGCGCGCCTCGGTTAACACTCGGCGAACTAAAATAGCGAGCTAGCCGACCGCGAATATCCTTGATTAAACGCAAAAAAGCCCGGAGACCTACCGCTCGCCTTGCGCTCCGGCCGTGGCTGCGTTTTTTCGCCACCCTCCGCCATCACGACGGTCGGGCTTGAGCGCGGAATTGGATTGGCCGCCTTTTCTCTCCCTCGCATCCCACCCCCGAATACGTCTCTCTCTTGCTCTCATCGGACGGAAGAAACACCGGTGGTTTCAGGGCATCGGGGGGACTCGATTAGAGCAGCTTGCGACGACCAGAAGTACCTGGCCGCACGTCCGTTTCGTCCGTACGCTCGTCCTTCCACCTAAATTGTTGTACACTGTCCAGAGAATAATCCTTCGTGATAAAAGGGACCACCAACTTATTTGGGGATCTCATGCCGTTGAATGTGTGTATCTTTAATCAAGTATTTGTACTTTAACTGGCCGCGAAAGTCTTGCTCATTATGCACAGCTTCGGAAAAATGTTGGTATCTGCAGTTAATTAGTGTCTGAGTTGGAAATGATTAATTTGAGTTGAATATCTTCAATTAAATTTAAATGCTCCTTTCCCGCAACGCCTGATGAATTTGTGCAGTAGACAGTGCTTTTTATTATGCTGACTACTTAATTTTATTATTTTCTCATTTGTTTTAATGTTTATCTTGATTAAAAATGATAAAGTATGATAAATGTTTTAGGGGAAAAAGTTTGGCGGAAAATTTTTCGGGGAGAGTTTGAAGGGAAGTTTTGAGAAAAAATTTTGGTGGGAAAGTTTAGGGGAAAAAGTTGGGGAAGTAGTTTGGTGGAAAAAATTTGTGGGAAAAGAAAGTTTAGAAGAAAATTTGGTAGAAAAATTTTAGTGGAAAATGTTTGGAGAAACATGTCGGATAATTTCTTCCAAAGTTCTACGAAAGAAATTTATGCCCGCTTACGTAGCTGGTAATACAGTACACAGTTTTGTAAATTTAAATGCGTACCACACATGACGAATGAATAGCGGGATGGTAATGTTCGCAAAAATATTCAGAAACTGCGAGGTATGATGCCGCGCCCATTCTTTTTCATTTCGTTTTTTTTTCATTTTAAGAAGAAATGCGCAAGCAATGGAGTATATTTTTCAACTTTTCCAGAGGTTTTGTGCGAGAAACAGACAAATTATATAAATTCTTTAGTTATTTACATATAACTATTTGTATCAAACTTACTATTCCAAATTTATGAAAGTTTCTTGTTAATGTTAACAAAGAGTATTGAATCTGTTATATATCCATTACAAGATCATAAAAATTAATAAATATTTATTAAATAAATATGAAATTCTTCAGAAGTACTTTTGTTTATATTTGTAAAAGGTGTCATTAGTTTTTCACGAAAAGTTAAAATGCGATAAAATGTATATAAAAAAAGGGTAAAATATAAATTATTGCTTCATCTGCAGAGTTTATTTTTCAGCGGGAAAACATCGAGGTGCCTTCGTCGGAGAGGATCGACTGGTGAGCGCTCGCTTAAAGCCACCCTCCACCCGGTAAGTACAGAGAGACGGGAGAGAAGACGAAGTGGGTGGTACGGTGTCGCAGAAACGGCCTGGAGATTAGCGTTAATTACAGAGTTGAGCCGTGCCGGGGTTGGGACCGGGCGCTAGGTATTTGTCACTCGGCACTGCTCTCGACTCCCGCTTCTCGTTCTGAATATTAATAACCCCGCCATCCTTCGCGCCACCCCCGCTGCGTCGCACAGCCCCTTGCTACTGCGACACCCGATGAATTGCGCAGCAGACAACGCTACTCATTATGCTGACTGCTTGATTTCATCATCCTCGACGGCACGAAAAATTAATCGCCCTGCTATCGTGATCAAGAATAAGGAATCCCGTCGGCATTAACAACGCCATTCACCTCACGTCTAACGCGGATCATAAGCAAAGCACTTTATTAATACATTAACGAACCAGATGCTTAGCAAAGCTTTCTCAAATCGTCTTTAAAAATCCTTCCTGCTT